CCGGCGGTATCGGTATTCGGCTGCACTTCTTGGCCAAACGGTATACTGAATACCGACCAGTCATATACCGACGGTAAATCGGTATTACCGAATACCGAATAAAAAAATAAAACCACAGCGTAGGGGAATTGGGGGTTGTGGTCGAGCAGTAGCAGTCCACCAATATTGCAGCCATAGTTATTAAATGCTCCAGCACAATCCACAAGCTGCTGTTCAGACAGAGATCCCTTTCCCAAATGCTTGGGCATAAGCTGCTTCAAGAGCTCCGGTGAGACTTGCAGCCTCTTTTAATCGGAGCACAAACAGCGGACGACTTCAGCATTAACTACAATAATATATTCAGGAGCTTATCATCTATAGGATCCTAGCATATTTTAAGTACCTATAACTCCACTAAATCCATCTGAAGCATATGTAATTTGTTTGGACTATGCAAAAGAAAGAGGAACAAGGTGCGAGTCCATACCGAATATTACGCCATCGCCCGGCTCGAAAACGTAATCTCAATGCATTAACCGGTATTTGGTATACCGATATTAATACCGGATACCGACTATTCGGTATTCGGTATACCGACTAATGTTCGGTATTGGTATTCGGTGGGTACCCTGTCTGGTTCCGGTATACCGAATACCGGTTAATCGGTATCCGGTATACCGGATACCGACCGATTACCAGCCCTAGTGGAGACGTTATCTGCATCAAGTGCACGAGCTTCCATCACCTGTCATACCACATGTTCGTGACTTGAGACTCCACCTCATCGACGAGAACCTCAACTTCAAGGAGGTTTTGGGGTGGACCGAAACTTAGGAGCCATCGTCCGGCTCACGATGAGAAAGAAGCGCTTGTTGGGAGGCAACCCAACCAGTCGGTTTTCATTTCTTTCTCTTTTTCTCCTCGGTTAAGTCAGTTTTGTTATTTGATTTTAGAGTCAATAACTCAACCTTTGTGATATTTTGTGTGGTGTTTGTGTTCCGACTACTCTCTCCTCCTCGAATGCACCGCCTGCCTCGTCCACCATCATTCACCCTTGATCTGGTAACTTCGTTCTACCCTCCTTATCTTTCCTCCATTGAGGACAATGTCGTGCTTAAGTGTGGGGGGATGTTCGATTATGTATGCGGGTGAATGTTCGGTTGTTTGTGTGTTTGGAGCCTAGTCCACTGTCCAAATTTTTAAATTTGAGGGCTCCAAGTACGTGTTTCCTTGCAAATTGCCTGCTCAGTATGCTTTGAATTGACAGTCGCTATAGTAATGTGCAACCTAGGGAGGTAGTGTAGCACTATGGAGGATGTTGAAGTATAAGATTTTTCCTATCTAGCTCTCGGCTATGCCAATTGATTTTGTGAATTAGTGGAGCTAAGACCGTTGAATTCATGTGATAATGGTGACTCTGTTTGGATTGTGTTATGGACTCGTGTATCGAACAGGGTGCTCATGTGGAAAATGAAAAGCAGTTGGTCCTCCATGTGGAAATCATCGAAATCTTAAACATGGGGTAAGCCCAACGTGTGTGGCACCGTTCATTGCACAAAATCGGGTTTTGGAGGAGATTTTAGTGATCCTTAGTGGGGTACTCCTACATGGTGAAGCTAACTTGTCTCTAGAACAAGTAAAACTTCCACCCGTTGAACGGTTTGCCTACTTGAGGATGTGTTTTTAATTGCACGCATAGAGCTTCCGACCCCCCTTAATTTCATTGACCCTCCACACGAGTTGAGGGAAAAGAGTTAAAAGAAGTACTCTGGCGAGCGCCAGATGTACAGAAATTGCTCTTGCTTGACTAATAAGGGTCGGCAGGGCAAAAGACTGCAGTTGGAACCCCCGCCAAGTGAATGAAAAGAAAAGAAAAAGTAAAATGAAAGTGAGAAAGGAGTTCCAACGGTGAAATGAAGTGAAAGAGCAACCCGGTACAACGAGTCCTTGGTTGTGAATGGTGTGAGTCCCTTTATCCATGAACTGACTTTCTTACTTCTACTTCTTCTCATGATCCTGGCTTGAGTCTAGTACTCGCATTGAGAGAGATAGGGGACGTCTTAGAAGACTAGTTGACCTCGTAAGATGCTTTATGATCTAGAAAATCCTCTACCGACAATCGGGGTTGTTTGTTGCTATAGAGGTCTAGAGAGTTGCATTGGTTTGAGTTAGGTTTGCTTGGGGACAAGCAAACGGTTAAGTGTGGAGGAATTTGATAACGATGTAATTGCACATGTTTGCACCCCTAGTTCTTATCCGTTTGCGGGGCGTAGTCGTGTATTTTTTGCCTATTTTACGCCGAATTGTGCTACTTTGTCATATTTAAGGTCCCAGACGTCGAAGGAAAGGCTAAGCACGAGTTTCAGGGCATATGGAAGTCATTCGGTCGAGCTGGGGGCAAAACACGGCCAGGAGGTCTGAAGAACACGGTTGTGTACACAAACAAGCACGTCAGTGTTTTTATGTGCGAGAGCTGAACTGATGGAAAAGCAAAACACGGGCTGGCCTAAAGAAAAACACGGTTGTGTCCATAATTAGGCACGACCGTGTTTTGGCCGACGTGGGCGTGTTTTTAACATGTGGCAAGGGCACGGACGGGCAAAAGCAAAACACGGCCGTGCCCTCGACCGTGTTTTGCCCAGAATCCGGTTTTTGAGGCAGATTCAAGCCAAAGGAAAGAGAGAGCTGGGTTTTGGATCGCAAACACCCAAGGGACGAACCAAAGAGAGAGAGGGTGATTTGAGGACATTCTTGGAGTGGAACTGGAGGATTTCTTCGCCTAGGAAGCTCGAGGAATAAGCCCAGACTTAAAGACTGATCATCTGAAGATTCTTACTGCAGTCTCTCTCCTCTCTATGGAGTAACTTCCCTTCACTTAGGTTTTGAGGAACCCTAGCTATGTTTGTTTGATTGGATGATTGTATGAGTATTCTTACTTAATAATCTTGAGTTCATATTCAATCTATGCATGTTTTCATGATTCAATTCTGCTTTAGTCGAGATTATTGATTCTACTTTGATCCAATGAGAGCGAATACCTGATTAGGTCAATAAAGCACCATAGATTGATAGTAGTGGATCGACTCGGGTATCAAATATTGCTAAAAACATCAAAATACATTTTCACAAATACTCAATCTCAAACCTTAAACACATATCATGGTCAAGAGACCAAATCCCGGTTTCGTCTGCCAATCATGGTCAATAGACCTTTTACTTAAAAACAAACTCTTTCAAATATTGCTAAAAAAATCAAAATACATTTTCACAAATACTCAATCTCAAACCTTAAACACGTATCAATAGAGACGTGTTTAGATCTATTTAACATCATTTTAATAACTCAATTTAATTAAACTACGTGGACTTTGATCCCGACAACTCGGGTACGTAGGCAACCAATAGGTTCGAGTCCAACTAATCAAAAACTCTTTCTTTAATTTTGAGAATTACGCCAATAAACGTATGATCACCTCATAATAATAAATGCCTAATTAATTGAATCCTATAACTAAATACGCAAATAAGGCGCAAATAATTATACACCCAACCTTAAAAGCTTATCGACCTAAGTAGTACCCATTTGGGGCGTTGTGGGGTGTGAATACACTTCCCCACACGTAACCGTACTCCCGAACCCAGAACTCTAAATTTCGCAGACCAAATTCCGGTTTCGACGCTAAGGTCAAGACCGGGCCAAAAAGGTATTCGATCCACCCACAAGTAAGATCGATGGCGACTCCGAGCAATTCGCGATGGAGCCCTCGTTTTCGAAGGGGCGGTTGCGACAGTGTCATTTTTAGGATGGTCATGTCGTGTTCTGAGGCTGTCTAGCCATTGTAGCTGTATATTTTTACTGGTTTTTAGTTTGTTAGATAGAGGAGCTTAAATTTAAGAACGTGGGTTAGTTGGTAGTTGTGAGAGGGCTAGTTTGGTGTTATGATAGAGTCTGAGTTTTGCATTCAATTGAGTTTCACATAGAATTCATCAGATACCCTAGCTAAAGAAAGAATTGAGTTAAAGAACCAATGTAATCTGAGATGGAAAATGGATAAGAACATAAATATGCAATGGAACATAACACACACAGCTAAGTCGGAAGCAACAAAATAGTGTTTGCAATACCAATCCAAATAACTAATTATTGTAAAAAGTGTGTGGTTAAAACTAAAATAAATATAAATAAATTGATACATAAGCAAAGACAGTTGGGATGTGGAAAATGTTCTTGACCACGAATGGAGTCGTGGGAGATGTAACTGCAAGAAAAATGGAACCGCCGTCGAAAGGATTTGCCATTCGCCGGAAGGATTCGCCATTCGCCAATAGTTTGGAACTACTCGTCGTACGAGCCTAGATTGCAACTTTTTTGAAACTCCTGCCAAAAGACAGGAAGAATCCTATGAAAAAGGATTTGATGGCTAGAGGGAAAGGCATGATCGGCAACCCACGATGACATTGGGTAGCAAATTGTAGCAGCGTACGCACTAAATTTGGTCGCCTGTTCTTTTCTACATGTTCGTTCGTGTTATGTTCATACCACGACGATTATTGATTGCATCTTTTTATATTTATCATAACAAATCCAAAAAAATAAATATAATTTGCTAATTTCATTCTTTAGATGATTTGATTAAAGGCACCCGTCTATCAATTTTTTTTTGTGCAATTGATTATGTTTTGTCCTTTCAAAATAGTAGAAACATTTGAATGTAATCGACATCTTATATGAGGGATTACTTCGATCCCATCTTTGATGTTCTGCCGCCACTCTTTCCATAACCTTGCAGACTTTTGGTTGGTGCCAACCACTCCATCTTTTGATATTGACAACCAAGTTGTGCACAAGATTTTATCTTTATTTGGTTGTCAATTAACTCCTCTCTTACCTGCCATTTTTCTGTTTTCATAGATGATAAAAATATGATTTTGAGAGAATGCGGTTTAAGCTCTGAGAATGAGTGAAGAGAAATCTATGAAGAGTGCTTGAATATATAAGAAAAATATTAACGTTAAAATATGACCATTTTTTATGGCCGTCAAAATACGATCGTTGCAATATGACCATTGTTTCGTCACTACATCAATTATTTCACATTTAAATTTAATAGATACACCAACAACCAATCACAAGCTGGATTTCTATTTGACGCCCTAAGAATTTAAATTGATCGCCCTAATCTGTACTGCACAGACTATTTTGCCCATTAACAAAAATACCTAACAAAAATTAACCTGCCCAAAATTGACGTGGTCGATCCCCTTTCCCCATCTTTCTCCCTTGGCCAAAATCCACCGCCGCCCTGATTTGCCGACCGGGCTGCTCTTGACTAAGCCCACCGACCAACCTCTAATTCTGATTTGTCGGCGCCCACCTAGCAAACCGAGGCGAGAAGAACGAAGGCCATGGCGAGAAGGAAGAATGACGGTTGCCGTCGACCTCCCGCCTACCTCTGCTACACTACCTGCTTTGTCGCTGCCCAGCTCCGTCGAAAAAAGGAAATAGAAGAGAATAGCCGCCGTAATTTTTTTGATGGGTATTACTCGTATGGCGGGTTGAAATCCGGTCTCCGGCGTGGTTGGGACGAGTTCAAGACCTGTCCCGACACCACCGGCTACGAGATTTCAACCCGTCTGACGGGCAGGACAATGGGACAAGACACGACGTTCGGTGAAGGGTAGGAGCGGGTAGAGAGCACGTCCGGCGGAGGAGTAGCAACAGCGGTGGGGAGCAGAGTCTTCGGCAACGGTTGGGCAATGGATTTGCAGGGAGCACCGGCTGTGGGTTTGCAGATGGTGGCGGTTGCCGGTCGGGGGTGATGGAGGACGACCCGTTTTACTGGCAAGGCCTCCACAATCTTCATATTCAAAATCGGTCACCTCCTCGATTTAGCGAAGGTAAGATGGCAGGGGCAGTAGGGTCATTTCTCGTGAGGTTAGGGCGATAAATTTAAATTATTAGGGCGACGAATAGTATCTCTCATCACAAGTGGGAGGGGGGAAAATTTTGATTGGTCTCGCCGTCATGCGCTCTGAGTCTGTCCTATCCATGCGGCGGGACCACTCTTATTCCCCACCCAATTTTAGCTTCCTACTCAAATTGAAAGCTAAAAATAGCTCTCAAATCCCAATAACCATTTTTTACAGTTCAAAATTATGTGGGTTGGATAACAAAAAAGCCAAATATGACTTTTTAGCATTTTAGGTCATTGAATTGGAGCTAGTCTAAGTTTTATGTTTAATCATCAATTAGGTAATGCGATAATCATTTAAATCTTTAAATACTTACACATCATCTGCTCTTCTTCCTTCCAATTTTCACCAAAAATGTTGTTGTGATTCTTTCATCAAATTGTCGATTTTGGAATAGAAAATTAAAATTTCAAGACTCACAAACACACAATAATCCTCCTATGTGCCCCTGTTCACCACTCATCTTCATTGTATGAAAACACATTTGTTAGTATCATACCAACCTCCTGGGCATTCTTTTAAGCGTTATGACTTATGATTATATTTTGGCCATGATTATATTTTGGCCATTGATAGTTTTTTGTTAAATTATTATTGTTCCTTACTCCTTACTGAGAATGAACATGACCGTGTGAGCCTTATCTTCAAAATACCCACTTTAAATCTTTTTCATAACCCCCTAAACATGACATTTTCAAGGGAAGTTGATGGGGATGAATGACTATGAGTGTTCATTGTTTTTGTTCAGTTTCAAATAATTAATATATCTTAGTATTCCCCAACATACACCTTAGCACACAACAACAATCCATTCAATGATTTCCCCCCCTACTAGTCCCATAAAGTACATATCATATGTGAGGTTCAGCTTCCTTCTTGAGCGGTATTGAATTATACTTATTATTACACATTTTTATCGAATAAATACAAAGTTTGGCAAATACTCATATTTAAAAAAAAACAGGAAAATTACCATCATTTCAGAAAGTTAGTTTTTTTAATAGATAAGGGTGATATATGTTCATTTTTTTGTGATTAACTACTACTCAAGAAATACGAATCTGGGACCTCTAGATTCAAGACTAATGATATTAGGGCTAATACCACTACAACACCCGAACTATCGCAAAAATGCCACTTGTGTCCTATTGTATCAAATATTTCATTTGTGTCCTGAACTATGATTCCGTTAGTGTTGACTTTTGTTGACCGTTAGTTTTTAACAGAAAATCTAGTTAGCGCTGATGTGGCATCTGACGTGGAATTTTTCATATTAGTTTTTATTTATTTTCCATCTAAATTAATAAAATTTTAAAAACGAAAAATAATAATAACTCATTTCACAGACCCCTCGTCCCATTATCTCCTCTTCCCCAATTCTCAAAAATTAAAATTGTGACGCATCCGACCTGGAAACATCTTCAATTTCCCCACCATCAGATCTGAAATCCCGTATCCAAATCTCCAAGAAGCTACTCTTCCTCCCAGAAACACCTCGAAGATTCCTTAGGTTGTGCGACGATTTCGACGGGATACGCGGCTTCCTGGGCTGGATCTCCCAAATGGAAGGAACGCCGCTGCAGGTGATTTGGTCGGAGTCGCCGACGGAGGAGCGTTGTGAGTCCCCCGTCGTCATCAAGGCTTCATGCCAGCCAGCACCGATCCTGGTCGCCACCACCTTCCAGTCCTTCACTCTACTCTTCAAACCCAGAAATGCAGCAGATTTCCATCCGGCTCCTTGGCACCGCGCACTCCAATCATCCTTCTCATTCGGCAAAAATCCAAATCAAGGCCCGTGTAACTACCTCTTCCCACCCAGAACGTATTGCAATGCTTTATTCATGATTTCAATCTCCGATTGAGTTGAATTGAACAAATTTTGTTTTGGAAAAATTAGGGTTCTTCGAAAAAAATGGTAGAAGCTCCACCAGGTTTCCATTTCCCACTCAAAGACCGCAACAATTGTGGGCACACTTGGATCTCGAAGCCAAAGTCGCCAAACACAAAACGAAATCGGCCGGCTCTTTCCATAGTGAAACCCCTCTGCCTCCTTCTTCGAAACCCTACGCCCCCGTCGCTTCTAATTTAATTTTAATTTTAATTTTTTTATTTTACTTATAATTTTATTTAATTTGAATTAAAAAAAATATGAGGTCAATGACGTGGCATCTGAGTGGCAGCCACATTTTTTGCCACGTCAACAAAAGTCAACTACGCGTTGACCACCGTTTGGTCAACCATTATCTTTAATGGTCAACGAAACTGACATGATACAAATGACACAAAATATCATAGTTCAAGATACAGATGAAATATTTGATACAATAGGACACAAGTGGCATTTTTATGATAGTTCGGGTGTTGTAATGGTATTAGCCCTTTATTACTATTAGATCAAATTTTTGTTGGTTCAGAAAGCTAGTTAGGGACTCGTTAAGAATACTACTTAATAAGAAGCAAGAAATCACCATCAGTACAATGAGTTAGCAAGGAACCCAGCACAAAATCTCTCACAAATGAAGAGAGATTTTAAGTACATTACTACACGAATGATTAGCTATATAACATCAAATTATAGAAGCTTTTTTTTTTTATATTCCTGCAACAATATTTAATCCATAAAATATACTAATATGACTACTTGTTCCCCCACATGATGATATCATACTCACCTTACAAATCGCAACTCAACCATCAAAACGTGTCAGTTCATGATTAATAACTCAAATCCTTGATAAAGAAACATCACTTTCTCCATGAGATCTCTTCCCGAATACAGTCATGGCGATATTATACATCTATGAGGTGATTTGGCATCCTAAATGTGAATTCAAAGACTACTTTTTTTCATTTCTCCTCCTCTATTATGTAAACCAGGCCCCATATGTAAACAACAGAACAGAGGCATAACAAAATTTTGCCGCGTGTCTTTTCAAAAGGGTTGATGGATGATCGATTCCGAAAAGTGTAGTGCCTTACAGCCTAATTCGCAGCAATGTTTATGGGTTTCCAAGATAAGGAAACCATGCATATCTATCCTCTCATAGTGCTACGTGTTAACGTCACATAATATTATTGTGTAATAGAATAACCATTTGATATTATATTTCTTGCTTTTGGTTCAGTCTATAGTCTATACGGTTGATGTGACTTGAATCGGACTATCAGCCGCTACGATTGGTAGTCGGGCACTGCCCGGTCAGCGAGTGGGGTCGAGAGGCAACGCCTCGGTGGGGGTGCGGGAGCAACACCCCCGGCCCACGGTGTATGGAGAAGTACTATAAATACTTATCATACTCCTCTGTAATCTGTAATCTCCTCGATATAGTGAAACTGGCTCTCTCTCGCCCGTGGACATAGCTAACACACATCGTGTTAGTGAACCACGTAAATCGTGTGTCTGTGTTTTTCGATTCTCGCTTTCGTATTCTTGCTTTATCGATTCGGGTGATTTCCCGATCCGTAGCAGCGCGTTTATAACAAGTGGTATCAGAGCCGCGGCTGGAAATCAGGCAAGGGTTTTCGATTCAGAAGAATGACGTTAGTGAACATGAAGATCGAAAAGTTCAAGGGGAAGAACAGTTTTGCTATATGGCAGATCAAGATGTAGGCTTTATGAAAACAGCAAGGGTTGTGGGGGCCGTTGTCTGCCAAACAGAAGAAGGCAGCGGTCGATGACGATGAGTGGAATACCCTGGAGGAGAAAGCTCACTCGACCATCATGCTATCGTTGTCTAATGACGTCATCATTGAAGTCGCTGCTGAGAAGACTGCCGCGGGCTTGTGGTTGAAACTAGAGAGTCTGTCCATGATTAAGTCTCTAACCAACAAGCTGCATCTCAAGCAACGATTGTTCAACTTGAGAATGCAAGATGGTACGCCTTTGAGGGAACATCTCGAACAGCTTGATTCTATTTTGCTGGATCTGCGTAATATAGATGTTCAAGTTGATGACGAAGATGCTGCCCTAATCCTACTGGTTTCTTTGCCGAGTTCATATGAGAATTTCGTTGATTCTTTTATTGCTGGAAAAGAAAGCGTGTCGTTGGAGGATGTCAGGTCTGCTCTTCATACGAGAGAGATCAGGCATAAGGCGTCTGGATCTGGTACAGGTGGTGAGGCATCAGGTTTGGCTGTTACAGGTGGAAAGGGAAAGAAGAAATCTGGTAAAGGGAATTTGAACAAGAAGGGTCCCGGTCCACAGCCAAGTGATGCTTGTCACAACTGTAAGGAAGTGGGGCATTGGAAGTACAATTGTCCCAAGACAAGAGGGCAACAGAAGAAACAAGGTTCAGTTGTCGGGGCAGAAGTGGACAACAGTTCTGAAGACGATCTCGCCTTGGCTGTAGATGAGAAGGCACATCGTGGGGATGTGTGGTTTTTGGATACTGCAGCCTCATACCATATGTCCCCGAACATGGATTGCTTCACAACCTACGAGCAGATAGCTGGTGGTAATGTGGTCATGGCAAATGGAGCTGTCTGCAAGGTTGTTGGAATCGGGTCCATAAAAGTTCGGGCACATGATGGTTCGTTCTTTACCGTGAATGATGTCAGGCATGTTCCACGAATGACAAAAAACCTGATCTCCTTGAGTCTACTCGATAGCAAGGGTTTCAGCTTCAAAGGAAAAGGTGGAGTTATGTATGTCTGCAAAGGTTCAAGGAAGGTGCTGAAGGGCGTGAAGCGTGGGACCTTGTATGCATTACAAGGATCTGTGTTGTCTGGTTCTGCTGCAATTGCATCATCTCATGTTCATCAGGAAGATATGACCACTCTCTGGCACATGAGACTGGGGCATATCAGTGAACGGGGGATGCAAGTTCTATCGAAGAGGGATCTTCTTTGCGGGCACAAGGTGCAGAATTTTGAATTCTGTGAGCATTGTGTGTTTGGGAAGCTACATCGCAGCAAGTTTCCCAAGAAGGGTATCCACCGGACGAAGGGGATACTGGATTACCTCCAGTCCGACTGTTGGGGTCCTTCACGA